TAACCACTTCTATCTCTTCTCTATCAATAGTAAAGTTAGCGTTTGTCATAACCTTAGTCCTCTTAATATTGAGCTGAAGTCAATATCTTTTCACTCTTATTAACTTTCCTTACAAGGGCCTTCAGGTCTTCCAGCTTTGCCACTGTGAACTGTATTTGTAACCCTATGGAAAACAAATGTTATATTTCTTTGCAGTGCTAATTTAGGTAGATTTTGTCCGATTTTTATAAATGTTTATTAGCATGACTGCACTTGCATGAAAGATATCAAACATCTGCATCGGCCCACTATTTCCATATCAGTGCAGACAAAGCTTCACAAAACTGAAAGATGTCACAGACCATGAAGATTTATGGACAATGGTATCATGCAAACTGGGGCATTGATCTATGTGTCTGGAATGAGTTATCCTCAGTAAAGCAGGACAGCAATCTTTACAGCAGCTCAGTTGACCCTAGCCACAGGTGCACTGCAGAAATTCAGCTTGGTAGGTACCAGATGGTTTTGGCCCTGTATTTGTCCAAGAAAAGGTCTTCAAGCACAGAACTGCCACAAACTACCTACGTGTATGCGCATATGTAGGGACATAGGTGTGTGTCCACATGTGCATAGTCACACACAGACACACAAAACACACGTGGTAATATTGGATATACCAAAAGAGGCTGTGCATCTAAACATCTGTCTGGACGATCACTGTGGGAAAAACACAGGGGGACGGTGGGAGTAAATTGACCATAAAGTTTTTGTTTATTACGTTTATTACATTCTAGACACGTAAAAATTCTCAACTTGCATTCAAATGAGGCAAAGTGTATATATATTTGTGTGTATGGTGTGTGTGTGTGTGTGTGTGTATATATATATATATATATATATATATATATATCTCTAGAAATCAAGTTTAGATCAAGTAATTATGACAGTCCTATTACACATTGATAACTGGTAAGCTCTTATGTCTTACTTCTTTTGTCTTTAACTACACATTCTTGCCTGCACTAGCAAAGGATATGAATATGTCCTCGGCTGGTGGTCATAGCTTTTTTTTCCCTCTCTCTCTGTGGTGAGAGGAAAAGAGTCCAACTGTGGTGTGGAGCTGTGCATCTGTATGGGGAAGGACTCATCTGCTCCATGTTAGTGGCAACCGCAAGCACTGCCTCTTATTTTTCCCGGGAGAGAAGGGGAGAGGGAGAGAGAGAGGAGGAGGAGGAGAAGGGAGAGAAGGGGGTTGGGGTGCAGGAGCTTGCTCTAAAGTGCACTTACTTCCTTTGCTTACACTGTTTAGAATTGGGAGGACACTGGACTGTGTTGGCGTCCTGCAGTAGCACAGGTGTGCATGTCGTCTTTCACATGAACTCCGATTATATAACATCTAGACCTTCGATTTTGCAGAATAGATAACCTATTCAAAACTCAAACATTTACTCTCTAATTACCACAGATACAAGAATGGATTCATGATGCAAGCACATAAAAGAGAGAGAGAGAGAGAGAGAAGGAGAGAAAAGAAGAAGAAGAAAAAAAACATCCATTAGTAGTCAAATAGCTTTCCATGCAGGGCAGTTCTTTACATCGGTGACACTGCATGCCCTTGTTTCTATTATTAATCAGTTTCTTTTATCTGCCTCTTACATTACATTTGCTTTGTCATACAGTGCTGTGAAGAAGTCAGGGATCACCCTGTCAAAACCACCATTCATGTTTCTGGAGATATTTCTGAGGAGATATAAGAAAATCCATTTTATCTGGATAATCCATTTATAATGAAGGATAAGTCAAAAGGAAAACAAATGAAAAACTTTGAGCTTCCAAACCTGGAGTTTAAAACGTTATTAAAAGTTTTAGAGAAAATGGGACCCATAACAACCATGCAGGACCTGGTAGACCAACCTTAATAAATAAACAGTGCTTAAAGCAACATTATATAACAATTTTACCTGAAAATAACATTCAAAATCATTTTGGTGGTACCCTGACTTATAATAGGGAGAATGGCATCTCTGTCATTGCCACTCTGGGTCCAAAATGTCTGCTATAGAGCTACGTAACTTTGAAGGAGCCAGCACTAAACCTCTCGTGAGAACTGCATAATGCTTTACAGCGCCACGTCACACACCAGCAGCTATAGGTCTTCAGCTAACTATAAGAAGTAGTAGTATTCCCAGCATGGACATGGCAGAGGCTGTGAAGAGACTGAAGAAGACGTTGTTGAAGGAAGCGAAGAAAAGAAAAAAGAAAGAGTGAGTGAGCAAGAGACTGGACAACAGTATATCTCAGACTGGCTTTTACTCATCGGCAAAAGCTAAAAGAGATAAAAAGATGCATACACTCTCCGGCTAACGGGATAACAACAAAAATTTAACAGCAGAGTGTACATCCTCACTAATGTTATTTGTGAAAGACTACAACGAAGGCTGTAAGCTTATCTGTGTCATCTCTGTCTCACCGAGCTTTGTAGTTTTTCCAGATGTCAAAATTCATCTAACCTCAGTCCTATTTCAGGTTAGCATACAAAGAAATAAATTTATCTCATGTCAAAAAAGTTTGGTCAGTCTTTGTCAATCTCACCCCAAATCAGCCTTAAAAGTTTACTACCTCCTGCAGTAAAATCTTGTAATATTTTGTTTTTTTCTGATGCTAAAAAATGAATAATTTGTACTTAATAGCCATTCTGACTGAAAGATAAAATAAACAAAGGGTTGTCTCTGACTTTTGTACAGTGCTGTATGTGTGCAAGATCTCTGTATCAACATATAATGAATTAATTGAATATAAAAGATCTAATGGTCTTTTAGACTATTCAGTGTGTGCGTGTGTCTGCATCAATTCAAGGCTGAAACAGACTAATCTGTCACTTTTTTTAACTTACTGCAAACCATCATTTAGTAATCTCTTTTACTAGATAACTTTGGGAGCTGAATATGCAGCTCTATTGAAATAGAGTTTAAAATAGAGATCAAAACAGTTCCTATTTCTAGGCATATTCTTTTCCACATATGGGTACACACATGATATACCTCTCTCTCTATTTTTCTCTCTCTCTCTCGCTCACACACACACACACTAACACCCATGCACAAAGTAAGTGCTTCTTTCCAAGAGCACCAATTTTCATGGGATTTTCAGCACATGTTTGAAATGTATCAGTTTTGCCACTGGGTAGGCACATATGGAATGTGTGAAGCTTCAAATGAATCCTTGCCAACACGTGAAGGAAACTGCTTTCTTACAGAACATTTGCATTGCATGTATTGAACGCCCCTTGCTAGGTTTGAATGCAAGTCGACTAGATGTGCTATTCAAGCAGGCGTTCTAAACTAAATCTGTCAACTAAGTAGTGCAAAAGTAAATATACCCTTAGCATGTTTAGCTTTAATTCAGATGACTACCAAACAGAGCTAAGTGTTTTGGGGTTTGTTGTGCTTAGCCTGCACTTTTTGAGAAGCTTAGCACAGAGTATGTGAATGGCGGAAGTAAGGTCAATGTACAAACTGCCCTCAGACAGTATTTCCTGTTTCACAACAATTCAATGGACAATAAAGCTGCACAATATAGATAAATTACCACATTGGGATTATACTGATACTTGCAAATGGCCTGTCTGAGCTCCGCCCACAAACTTCTGTAGCAACAGTTGCCAGGTTGGCCATAATTTATGAAACATTAATAACAATTGCTTTCAACCAAATGAATTCAGGTCTGAGTTTAGATTCACTACATAATGCCAAGTTTCCAGTGTAAAATGCTATAATAGAGAGCTGCACTGTTGTTGTAGCTATTTGAAACCAAGCAGGTTGGAAACATCAATTAATTAGCCACCATGCTAACATTAAACAGCAAAAAAATACACCAAATGTATCCAAATTGTGTGACTTTTCGCAAGCAAACAAAATAAGTGTCTTTTGTAGGGCTGTTCGTTTCCAGAAATTTTTGACTAGACTCTAAATCCGATTCCAAGAGTCAATTCCACACAATTATTTTGATTCCGAACGACAAGACACAGAGAAAAACATCTGCCAAAAAAAAGATTACAACTTTAATTATATTTGATCTTAAAAAAGGAAACGCGGAGAGCTAACGCTAGCTAAATAATCTTAGTTGAATGATGAGGGCTAGCTAAATTGTACCCGATTCTCCTCTGACGACTCCTTCAGGTGAGTAGATGTATTTCGGCACCGGTTTTGCATTTTACTTTGTTTCCCACTTCTCCAAAGTAAACTGCAACTGGACTAGACTGTTTATGCTGTGACAGCAGAATATCTCATATCATACTCTGTGTGCATGTGGATGCAGGCAAACTTGAACGTCATGGTATGGATTTAAGTGCAAAGCTTTGGAGTCGACTCTCGATTCCTGAAAGCCTGGAAGTGGGGAATCGATTCCTTTTGGGATCAACTCCCACCCCTTGTTTTGTAAAACTCCTAGTTTTCTAAAATAATGAATTGTGTGCTATAATGTCTCATTAAATTGAACAGTTCTGTAAGTTGAAAGAGTTGAAAGAACGCCTTACTATATATTAAATTGTTTTTTCTCAAGTTATTTTCTTTGTTGGATCACATGAATGTGATCCAACAAAGACATCCACATCCACAGAAACTCCCTTGAAACTTGTAGGGTTGTTCAGGATGCTCAGAACACATTGATACAACGGTTCGTTTACATACTGCCAATACCACAATACTAATTACTTATCGATATATTGTGGAGCCATATTGGAGAGACTAAAAAAAGTGCAACACTGGTTGACAGCCACCAAAGTCATCTCTAAGACACCAAATTAAGAAAAATTCAGAGATGCTTACACTTTCTATATTCCCATAACATCTGTTTTTTTTTGTTTTGTTTTGTGTTGCAGTACTTCAGCTGACTGCTGTTGCTCAAGTATATCTGAATATGAATAGATATAGTAATGCAAGGCTTAAACTTAAGGGCCAAGCTTTAACTCAACAGTAGTTACTGGAGTCCAGTTTGAGCAAATAAGAATAGAGAAGGCTTACCTTAAGTCGGTCTGTCTTGGCAAAAATCTTTTCTTTCCGCTGAAATATGGTTCAAAGTCTTCAAACTGTAGTCTGTGGGAGTAGTCTATATACCCAGATATTTCCTGTCCACGAGAATTGCGGTCCCTTACGAAAATGATGGACTGCAAAGAAAAACAGCAGGGCATGCTGTATAAATAATCTTTAATATGCTATCTTTAGAAAATGGAGAAAAGAGTGATATATAAAACATTACACCTATGGTTATGGGAGGTATCCATTAGAAATGCACCCACACTGAAACCATATGATTGTATGAACTATATGAAGAATCAGACTGATAAAAGTATTGAAAGTATGACTGAGAGTCTGATTCGAGTGACAGAAACAAATGAAACAAACTTTAATTCATACAAAACATTTTTCTTGTTTCTGTAAATGGCTTAGTGTCGATTTATCAATCCAGTACACAGATACTATAATACAGATGCTAATTGCAAAAATATTTAACAACTGTTATCTATTGTCTGAAATGGTTATTTAAAAAAAAATCATGAGATTAAAGATTATAAATTCAGATGGTTCAGGTGGAGAGTACAAATTTCAAGAGAAAAAAAACACTGCTCAGATGACAACCATGAGATAGCCATTCTGATGCCAAAGATATCCCCTTCACAATAGAGGGCGGCTCAAGACAGAATACACATTTAGCTGTTTGGAGAACATTCAGTGGTTATTTTGTCTGGATGATAATGATGAAAGAATGACCTACAACAACGTCTGCTGTGAAGAGGAGCTTTGTTTTGGCTTGCGTGTTTACTTCAGAGTGAGGGAGTCACACTTCTCCTGTGAAACCTTCCCCTTGTCTCTTTTTTTCTCCCCCCAACTACAGTCATTGATATCACATTTGTATTTCTGTCAGAACTCCGGCCATCTGTGGATTGCCTTACATGTGCGGGATAAAAGTGAGATAACTAGTGCTGCAGACTTAAAAAGGAAGGGCGCTCCTCTTTATATACTTTAAACAGATGCTATCGGGTTCGCAGCTGGCCAGGGGCCGAGCCATCTACCTTATCTGTGGCTTCTGTGCTCCCCCGTCATCCTTGAAAAGAAATCATCAGACGGGGGCTAAGAAATACAGTGGGAAGAGCGAGGCGCGCAGATCGTCTTTCGATCGCAGAAAAGGGAATCAAAACCCCTCCAGCCCACAGCTACACCATGGTGGAAAGCTTACCTTCGCCCTCATAACTCATGAGTCAAAGCAATAAAAAGCACGGCTCAATGGAACTGCATGGTTCCGTCAAGTAGTTTTGGAGAACAGGTGTTCTCCTCTCAGAAGGACTTGGCTGCATCTTACTATTAGCTAAAGTAAACTTTTGGGAGTAAATTACCTTGAATCAGGATGATCCACAATTCTTTTTTTAACCTTTTAAACTGCCTCTATATTTATAAGTCATAACTATCTAACTTGCATTTAGTTTCATAATAGTTACTAAATAATTTGCAGAAATTACTGAATAAGATTGAGCCCTATTTTTTCCTTAAGGGAATGGAAACGCATCGATAAAACCTAAAAATCAAGTTGAGCCTGCTGTCAAGTTCTAAGTTGCATCGCATTACATTGAGAGAGAGTACACAGGTCCACAACTAATCAGAAGTGGACACTTACTATTATATTTTCTCAGTTACACTAAAATAAAATAATGGATGAATTTGCACTTTAAGTATTTTCAAATTATAATACTTTTACTTATGCTCAAGTATACTGAAGAAAACTACTTTATTTAGTCACATTGTTGTCATTCACATTTATTCCTTTTTTTGGCTTTAACCTCTTTGTAGACCCCTAGAGGCCATTCCGCTGGCAGAATGAAAATCAACTCATACTTTTAATTATGGAAGCATCAAGATATTTTTTTTGTAGTATGAGTACGTTTTAAGCATTCGCCAGTACTGAGTCCGATACCCCAATGAATTACTTATTTAGAATAAATGAGTTCGTGTACAAGAGTGCAATGTACCTTAACTGTTAATTTTTTTAAAATCTAGCTGATTTTAAATGAAGTGCATTAGCTAGCTATGCTACATTAGTTACCTTAGATCGTGTAGTGTTGCAGTGAAAATGGAGAAGAGTGGACTCCGTTCTACATCAGAAAAGTGCTTGTGCACAGTTCTAAGAAAAGTATTTCATAGTTTTGTTCTCATGCTCCTCATCTGTCTCAGGAAATCACATCCAAAGCTAGTCTGAGGAGCTCACGTTTTGTATTGTTAAAGTTTTTTTGGCTGGTTGAGTTGTAGTTGAATGTCCTCTAAAGCCAGACATACACTGTGATTTTAGAAATACTGTTCTTTGGTGACTCATAATGTGCAAAAATGCACAACCCATGCTATGTGAAACACAGCAGTCAGCTCTACAGAATTGTCTACAGACAATTTCAAATAAAGCTGTTTCATTTAAAATAAAATGCTGCACACCTGAGTACTGAGCAAAAGCTGAGGCACTGAGCAGCAGCAGCGTCGCTAACTACTAAAACCAGGTCATGTACATGGTTTTATGATACAGTCTCTCTATAGCCTATTTTACACAGACAGTTTTAAAAAATCAATGTATTAAAGTTTATCCCTCACTATTTTTTGCCTCTGTTTTGCTAGCCTACATTGCTAGCTTGCTGTACCATTCCGCAGTGCAAATGCTGTATGTATAAATATGTTGCTCAAAGTTGAGCAAAGAATGGTTTCAGTGACTGCTGAAAATCCTTTATTTTTCTAAATGCAACTTTTAGCAGTCACTGAATAGGCCACAGACATGTGCTTAAATCTCTAAGCACTGGCTGCATTATGTACATTCTTACAGGGGAAATGTTAGCAACATACTAACATCAAGCATGTACCAAAGTACGTTTTTCCAAAAATGCACAACAACTTTCTGATATCTTCCATGTTTCTGACTACAAAGCACTTCAATGCAAAGTCTTTGTAATTATGACACCGTAATTAGAAATAGGGCCATCAGACGAGCATGAAGGCAGTTTATATATCTTTGTCCTAATGAGTCCACAAATGAGAAACAGGTGAAGGTAATGATGAGGAGGAGGTGTTGGGGCGGAGTTGGAATGGGAGTGGTTAGTCAGCCGGTGAAACTAAGCACTGATGGACTGAGAGTGAGGGAACCAAATCCGAGGACCTTCGCTTCAAAAACTTGGGCACAGGGATGTTTACCTCTTGTGAATTTGAGAATTATATGGACACTTCTGAAGAATTATAATGTAGACTACAGGAACCAACATGTACTTGGCAAGAGTGGAGGGCGTTGTTTTTGTAAAAGCACTGTAGCATTACAAGCGATCAACCATTCAATAGTTATTGCACTAAAAACCTTTAAAGAAAGGTAGAAGAGGTTGGCTTGTGTGACATCAGCAAGCATTAACCTGTAGTGGGAATGGAAGAGTCAGAAAAGTACTGGCGGAAAGGCCGAGGGGGCCCACTGCAGAATAGGCTCACTGGGCTTCTAGAATCTCAATTGTGTCCTGACAGTTGGAATTAAAATTTGCATGAATATAAGTTTGATTCCTGGCTAAAAATATTGATTCCTGGCTAAAAATATATTTACATACACCTTACATACAGCTCTATCACAGATATCAAGGACTACTTTGTTTTGTAAATATCTAATCACAATGGATGCAAAAGGTGGCTTGCAGCCTTTGTTGTTGATAAAGCACCACTGAATACAATGGCACGAAAAGGTAAATGACTGAAAAGCTTTTATCACACGACTGCACGGTTCACAAGGGCATTTCACTGCGGTAGTATTTTCCACTGAAGCGTTTTTATCTGTGAAGCAAGTGACAGGATGGTACAGTGGCAGGACCCTCTTTCACAGGAACGTTCAGGCCCGCTGGTTAACCCCCCCAATACTCCCCACCCACCCAAACCTCACCCTCCTAAACCTCACCCTGGGAACAATCCTGCACTGTCAGGGAGGCTTGCGCAGGTGTCTGAGGGTGTCAGCTGGCCTCTGTTTATTATTGGTGGGTTGTGCTTTAGGAGGAATCCCGGGCCATCACTAACAACTGTGTAAATTTGTTGGGGTAATGAAAACATGGCCTGGATGACAGGAATGTTTGAGGGCCTAGTCCTTTTTCTGGCAGGCTTACTCTTGTGTCTCTTTAGGTGTTCTTCAGGGGTTGGGGGGTGGGAAGTGGTGGGGGGGTTGCTTATTTGACTTGGAAGTGACTTCACAGTAGGGCTTGTGTAATAGATGCAGCGGTGGAAACCAGATGTGCTGAGGTGCGCTGCTTCTGTTGGGATCTACCAGATTTACACTTGCTTGGGATGACTTGTACAAACCTTGAGTACTAAGTGGAGCTAGGTGAACCCAACTCAGTCTCAGAATTTCAGACAAATTCTCTCATGGTGGGATGATAATAGTGACAACACAGTCCTTTCTATGTAAGAGTACTTAAGCACCCATTTCCTACATTTTTGTATTTTAATTTTTTTCTTGGGGTCCACTTATAACACTTGTGTGGTTTTATGTGCCAAATATGGTCATAATTCATTAATACATGATCAACGTCTCTTTATCGTTTAGAATTAAACAAACTATTTTTTTAAGGCTGATATTTGTAAGTGGTCTGTTCTCATTGCTGTCCTGTATTGTGCCTCATTCAAAAAAGCACACTTTTAAAGTTAACCCGATATCAAAATTGACCTTTTTTTTATCTTGTATGTGTTTCACTTGGAAATATGTCACAGTATAAAAAGAAAATGCTTTGTGATTCTGATTCACATTGGCTTTCTACACAATTTTAGGCAAATATGTGATGATTTATGTGCACACTTGCACGATGCTAGCCAGTATGCATAAGCTTCCATTACTTGTTAGCCACACAGATCCAGTAAAAAAGCTAAAGTAGCAGTTTTCAGACACTAAACGTCTTAGGTGATTAGAGATGTTTATAAGTCGCTTCATGCAAATGGAGTCTTGAATCCTCAGTAGAGAATTTTAGTTTAGTCTTATTATTATCTGCAAGAATTGCATTGTGAAAAAGAACCCCCCACACAAAGGTTAGGAGGAACAGCATTGCAGTAATGACTGTGCATGACTATAGCAGAACTTACTGACAAATTCACACACCTAAGGTTGGAAATGAAACATTTA